CGATTTTACTGGGACATGATGTAATACTATCATTCACCATCATCATCATGCATGCAAATTCCAAAGGGGGACAGCCTGCTTGCAGCTCAAGTACCACTCCAATTGATCTCTAGCTAAGTCCTTAAGACAGTCTGGCTGGATGTTCAGTCTAGGGTGACCAGACGTCCTGATTTTATCGGGATTGTCCCGATATTTGCTTGTTTGTCCCGCGTCCCGACCGATGTTCGGTCGGGACACGGGACAAACAAGCAATTTTGCCCTCCGCTCCGGCACACAGGCGGAGCCCGGATGGGCTCTTGCCCCCCCCGTCCCCTCCTTCCCCCATTGGATCCCTCCCCAAATCCCCGCCTCTTTCTCAAGCATGCGGCATTCCTCCTCCCTCCCAGGTTTGCACACGGGCCATGGCCGGGAGCGCAGCACGGAGGCTGCTCCAGCCCTGCAGCCCCCGGGGCAGCATGGTGGGTCTGGGGGCAGCACAGAGCGGGCAGGGCCCGGGTGGGCGGAGACACGCGTGGGGCGGACACGCTCCTGCTGGGAGGGGCCGGGCCGGCTGCCTGGTTTGCCCCCTGGCCAGGTGGGTCCCCGAGTTCCCCATGGCCGGAGAGGGGCTACCCGGGGCTGCGGGGGCGAGTGTCCCAGGCGGGGCAGAACGGAACGGAGCAGCCTCTGCTGTGGGGCCGGGGCGACGGAGCCTGGGAGCTGCAGGAGGGGCCCAGAGCACGGCTTGGCTGCACAGCTCGGAGCCCAGGCTGGGCCCGGGAGCGAGAAGCTGGGGAGGTATCGGGGGTCAGAACCAAGAGTTGGGTGGAGACGGGGCTGTGCCACTGCCACCTAGCGGGGGGGGGGGGGGGAAGGGGCGGCGCCCCCCCCCGGCTTTTTTTTTTGGCCCCGCCCCCCCCCCCCCCCGATATTTCATCTTTGTCATCTGGTCACCCTAGTTCAGTCTATGACTGTCTTTGGCAATCTTATTGCGCCACTGAAGCTTTTGATGACCACCTAATCACCAGTCATGTAGCAGCATCAGTTGGCAAACAGGAGTTGTAATTTGTTATACTATCACTGGTTTTAACTAAACATTATTGACAAAAGTGCTTAATTTCTTTTGAGAAAAATATTTTTCTTTTGATAATGACAAATTTAGTGAACTTTCACACAGATAACCTTTTATATAAATAAGTGATGGAGAACACCACTTTGGCTTCTAGCAAAGGGCAACTCCTTAGAGACTTAATAGGATGAAGCAATTATAAACCTTTTCTACTAAAAGCATATTTAAATTCAAACATACAGGTAGAACCAACACCATTTATGCACCCAGAAATGGATGTTGAATGACTGATCAAATGTTCTGGCTGATGAACTTGAAAGTAGTGTTTTTGTTCCAGTTCCAAGGCAGGCTGCCCGCCCAACCTCAGCATTCCCACTCCACCTTAATTGCTCCTCTTAAAATAACCATTTATGGTCCAGATTGGGGCCAAGCTGTCTCTATGCTAGACCCAATTACAGCCCCTCCTCTCTGAATTGTTGCCTGGAGTTCAAAAGTCTGGGATTCAGAGGCTCTAGATCAGGGGTGGGCAAACTACAGCCCGCGGGCCACATCCAGCCTGTCAGACCATTTAATCTGGCCCTCAGCTCCCGCCGGGGAGTGGGGTCAGGGATTTGCCCTGCTCTGCGCGGCTCCCAGGAAGCAGCCGGCAAGATCCCCCCCTCCAGTTCGACCCCCCTCCGGCTCCTACATAGTACGTGGAGGCTTGGCCAGGTGGCTCTGAGCACCATCCCGTCCGCAGGCACCGCCCCTGCAGCTCCCATTGGCCGCAGTTCCCGGCCAATGGGAGCTGCAGGGGTGGCACCTGCAGATGGGGCAACGCACAGAGCTGCCTGGCCAAGCCTCGGAGCAGGAGGGGGAACATGCTTCCAGGAGCTGCTTGCGGTAAGCGTCACGCGGAGCCTGCACCCCTGAGGCCCCCCCGTGCCCCAATCCCCTGCCACAGCCCTGATCCTCCTCTTGCCCTCCGAACCCCTCAATCCCAGCCCAGATCCCCCTCTTGTACCCCAAGTCCCTCATCCCCAGCTCCACCCCAGAGCCCTCAAGTCTTGAAGCGAATGAATGATACACAGATGGGAAAGACTGCAGAGCAAGCTTTCCAGTGCCCTTAAATTGACCTTCTCAAATACCCAGCCTTTCTGCACTCTCTCGGTGACAACATTGAGCAACCTGCTTTCGTTTTCCAGTTTTAAAAATCTCATTGCCAATGACTATTCCACCCAAAATACTATGTTGCAAGAACATTAAGGTTAAAGCAGCAGAAGTCAGGAAAAGGCTACAGTGAAGTTGCACACTTTATCTATGACCCTAATGAGCATGCACTACAATACAGTCTAACTTAAAGACCACATACTAGTTCTAAAAAATACAAATATACTTTTCTACAAATCAGATGCATATCCACAGCATCCTGTTTTTTTTCCATTGTCATGAAGTGGAACATACTGTCTTCATTAACACTCACGCACTAAAAACTTATTTGTAGTAAATAAGCCTTCCTTGAGTAAAATTCAGGGAATAAGTCAGTTAAGAAAGACGCTAATCTAGCTGTGAATTTGTGGCATTTATATGCCAGGAAGTTTTCCTAATTACTCTGTAGGGTACATTTAACATGACGTATGATGCAAAAGTATGGTTTATTGTATACCTTTCATACAAATGGCTTTCATAAACTCAGACATACACAAACAACATCTTGTATTACAACATCTTGTATCTAAGGTTATAGAAAAATGTATTAAATTGCATACAGTGTATGTGATCATTAAAGATGATATTGCAGAGAATACACAGACGGGGGAGCGTTACCTAGCATATGAAACCATAACTTAATTGACTTTCCATAGTGCATAGTGAGAGTCCTTAGTTGTACAACTTCACGTCACATAATTTCTTACGTTTTTCTAAAAGAAAAAAATTAAAAAAAAATGTTCTTAACTGACCTGCTGGTTTGCAAAGAACTGACAATAGCATGTGTAAACTCTATAATCTAGAATTATTCTGCTAGACCCCACTAAACCACATTGTCCCTTACATTTGAAGTCAACAGCAGGTAGGGGTGCCTTAGATGTCTATCTTCAGAAGCCCACAAGAAATAGCCTCTCCTATACCTTAGCAGCTGCACCTAAGGGTACGTCTACACTTACCGGAGGGTCCGGCGGCAGGCAACCGATGTTCTGGGATCGATCCCGGAAGTGCTCGCCGTCGACGCCGGTACTCCAGCTCGGCGAGAGGAGTACGCGGCATCGACGGGGGAGCCTGCCTGCAGCGTCTGGACCCGCGGTAAGTTCGGACTAAGGTACTTCGAATTCAGCTACGTTATTAACGTAGCTGAATTTGAGTACCTTAGTCCGAAGTGGGGGCTTAGTGGGGACCAGGCCTTAAAGACCACACAGCAGAGTTCCCTCCACACACCTCACTGAGAACAGCAACCCTTCCTAAGGCTCTCCACACTACACAGATGGCCTTGCCTACAAGCAGAAGTTGCACTAATTTCACGTATATCAGTGCACGGAGACAGGGAAGCCTCAACTCCTGTATACCTGAAATGCATTTTTTCACTCTGCAATTAAGTTAATCATGCAAGTAAATCCTGCTGATCCGGCTTTCTTTGAAGACAACAGCTATGGCTAAACACTTATTCAAAGCAACAGGAGCAGTACTGGGCCCTTGAATAGTATAAAACCTCTGATATAGAACATGAGAGCCGTTTCAACAATGCATAGTAACAACATGCAACTATTTAGGATAGGAAGCAAATACAAGTATTCCATTAAAACTGCAGGAGAAAACTGAGTAGACATGTAATTTTAAAGGTGCAAGACATCCAACTACTACAAGACAGAAACAAATCAAGTGTTAGGGATAGAATACAACATACAGGCAAATGAATTACCTGTCAAGACAAAAGTTAAAGGTTCTGTTTTTCCTGCAATTGCGGATTCATCACTAATACCAAAAACAAATGCCTCCACCCTACCCCAAGATCTACACCAAGATAAATGAAGATATCAAATGTTACCAGGGTAAGAGAACCTCAAAGCTCTGACTGAAGAATGGACGAAACCACGACAGTATTTAGCAACAGTAAATTTCTTTAGCTAGCTGGAGTGATCACTGCTGAAAAAAGAGAAAAGTTCCTTGCCCCCCCCCCCCCCCAAACAGGTACACTGTGTTAGAAGTAATTTCAGCCCTTGCCAGTCAAGGGTAGCAGAGACAGGAGCAGGAAATCCAAACCACCTAACACAGTACTACCACCAGGCCACTTGCCCCTACCTGCTTTCAGATTTCACACGTACCAATTAATTGGCTCATTTTATACACAAATCTACATTAATGCCACATAAAACTGATTTTATTCCGTTTGTTGTAAAAGCGAACAAAGGCGGACGTTAAGTTTGTTTTAAATGTTTTACATAGAAAAAAAGAAATTAATCCCAGCACACTGCAGTCTTCCACCTGCCACAGCTGCCTCCTTCATTTCACAGCGATCAAAGCTAGAAAAGATCTACGGGGCTGCTTAGGAAGTGCGCTGCTCCCGGACGGTCTTTCTTTCTGCCTCTTTGTCCCACACTGGAAACAAACGTCAACTGTCTTTTAAACGCAAGCGAAAAGGATGATCCCACCTGGAGCCCAGTAACTGCAGCTCCCTGCAAACATTTCACCGGAATGCGCGGCTCATTTCGGGCCGCTGGACGGAGCAAGCCGAGGACAAGCCCACTCCGCTCCCACAGCGCTGAGAGCCGCGGCTGGAAAGGCCCCCGCCGCGCTGCTCCAGGGAATTGACAACGGACTCTTGGCTGGCAGTGACCCGGCCCGGCCCAGCCCGTGGCCCCCGCACCCCTCCCAGCTCCCCCCTCCCCGACTCGCCCCACCTACCAGCTCAGGTCCCCCCAGCTCTCACGAAAGCCTCCCCCGGCCTTTTCCTCCTCAGCGCCCCCCCCCCGGCTCTCACCGACACCGCGCTCAGCCCCTGCTGCTCAGACGCCACCATCAGGATCTCCCGGAAATCCATGTCTGCCCGGGGCTGGCTCCGCTCTGCGGCTCCGGGAGGCGATGGGCCGGCGGCGAGACGGGCCCCAGACCGCCCAGCTGAGGAGGCTTCGCTCCAGCTGCAACTCCCCCCTGACCACTTCCGGCCCCCCCACAGCCGACGACTGCGCCGAGCCAACGTCTTATATGACCTCGTACACGTCACCACCTTCATGCGTCACTTCCTGGCTGACGTCACATTTTCCCCCGTGCCTGGGACACGTGTCATCAACAACACGTGACTCGGGTTCTACTGGCTCCACCTCTTCCCAGCTGCAGGGAGACGGAATCAGGGCTTTAGGCCCCGCCCCAGAGGTGCAGGGCGGGGACGGGGTCAGGCCGGGGCTCTAGACAGTCTCCAGGGTGGGATCAGAGCTCTGGCTCCGCTCCCAAGGAGCGGGGAGGGTGGGGGAATCAGGGTTCCTACCAGGGTACAAGTAGGTGGGAATCAGCTAAACAATCCTTCCACCTCCCCAACCCCTGCCCTTAGGATGCAAGGGAGGGGAATCAGAGCTACACTCCCTGGCCCAGGATGCAGGGAATTGGGGAATCAGTGGTACCTGCTCCCCACCCTTCCCCCCCAAAAAATGCAGGGAGGAGAGAATCAGGCCTCTATACCCTCTCTGATGCAGTCTGGGATAGTGGTGGGATTCAGAGCTGCACAACAAGCCCCAAATGTTCCTAAACTAATTAAAATTTTAAATTCCAGGTACAAGTTCTAGAACATGTTGCAACTACTCCCTTCTCAACCTGGCATCACCAGTCTTGCTAACTTGCAGTTTCATGGAGACTTCTGTGATACTTGTTGTTTTTCTTGAAGCATCAGTTCCTGGAATGGTGATTGTAACGGATTCTCAGTTTTCATTTTTTAAAAAGTAATTTTTACCTCCTCTGGTTGCAGAGAAAACGTGACCCCAAAAGACTCAAAAGCCAGATGGTTAATGAAAAGAACCCAATTTTTGTTATTTTTTTTTAAATCTCATAATTTTAAGATGATCTCATGATTGGGGGGGCAGATTCATGCTTTTTGAATGCTTGGAGAGGGCAATACTGCATCACAAAACTTCAAAAGGGCAAACATACACTTCAGGAAAGAGCGTGGTGGGCTGTGTGTGCCCTCTCCTTCCTCCCCTGTACACACATAAATTGGACTCCTAAAATACTTGGTAGCCTAACATTACTCAGAATTCTATACAGGAGCAAAATCTGTAGCCAAACTCTAACTGCAAACTTCATGAATGGGACAAAATCCCAACAAAAATCCCATATTTGCAGTTCTGCAAAAATTAGGAACTCTCATGAAGACTGTAAGGCAATTTCTCTTTGTCTATCAAGATATGAAAAAGGGCACTCAGCTTCTGGTGCTGTGTCAACTAAAGCAGCAGGCACTCTGTGTACCAAAAAGAGAAAACCTGATAACACATTCCATTCCCACATAGCAGCAGGTCTGAGCAATGCTCAGCTACAGAACAACAGAGTAAACATCTCAACCCAAACTCAAATGTTCCTCAAATCATTGACAAAACCCCAAAAGACAACACAAACCACTGAGAAGAACAAATGAGAGGTAATATTGAGTCTCATCAATACCCTTAACTCTACCATCTCTTCCACTCTCAATTCATTTGTTCCTACCAGATCCCAGCCCTGGCTTACACCTCAGATCCAATTCCTCTGGCCTGATTGCCTCTCAAAACAAAATGGAGACCTAGGAGATTTTTTGTGTATAAGATTGCCCTCTTCTCCTCCAGTTCTGTCATCTTTCTCACCCAACAGTCCTATTTCTCCTACCTCAAAACCCCAACACTTGTCTGCCAGTTTTCACTCCCTCCTTAAACTCTCCACCACCACCACTCACCCTCTCCATCCAGATTCCTGTTGACTGCAGGAAGATTGGCAAGATTGGACGTTCCTCCACTTCTCATCCCTTCCTTTTCCATATCCCTTCTTTTCAGTCACCAGGGTGAGGGAGTGTTTTTTAGGATGGGGGAATAAATTTCTGTTTGTACACATAGGGAAAGCAGTAAGAGGACAGAGAGAGTTTCAAGGCAAGGGAATTGTGAGGGCAGGGGCAAGGAAGGTGAACAACAGAAGGAGAGTGGGTCAAAGGGGAAAGTGGAGGAATTGGAAGTGGAGAATAGATGACCTGAGGTTAGTCATTTATTCTCCACTTCCAGTTCCTCCACTTTCCCCTCACAATTCCCTCACCTTGAAACTCTCTCTGTCCTCTTTCTGCTTTCCCTGTATGTATAAACAGGTATTTATTCCCGCATCCTAAAAAACACCCCCTCACCTCATCCATCTCTCTCCTCCCCTTTACTTCTAATCTCAGTGGAAGTCTGGCTACAAGTGCTGCATCAACGTCCTTTCCTTTGACTTACTCCTAGATCCCCTCCACACCGGGTTCTAGCCCCTTCATTCCACTAAAGTCCACAACGACCTTCTCAGCCAAGTTTCAGGGCCTGTGCTCCTTCCTTGACTTCACCAGTGGCTTTGATACAGTGGATCACTTATCTTCAACATTCTGTCTTCCCTCAGAATTTATTATGCTGTTTTCTCCTGGTCTTCTTCCTACAGAAATCAACCAGTGTCTCTTTCACTAGAACTTCCCGGCTCATTTCCTCATTTGTCATGCCCCTGCCCTCCCTTTCTGGATAGGTCTCCTGGCTTGGTTATGACTCAGATTCCTGTGCAGTGGTCACCAGCCAGTAGATCGCGATCGACTGATCGATCGTGGAGCGCCTGACAGTCGATCTCAGTCTCAGTCTAGGGTTGCCAATCCTCCTGCAGCCAAACCGGGAGATCGGCTGCTAACAGTCCGGTGGCACAGCGGGGCTAAGGCAGGCTCCCTGCCTGCCCTGACCCCGTGCCGCTCCTGGACGCGCACCCCAACCCCCTGCCCCAGCCCTGAGCCCCCACGCACCCAAACTCCCTCCCAGAGCCCGCACCCCCTCCTGCATGCCAACCCCTGGCCCCAGCCCTGAGCCCCCTCCCACACCCCAACCCCCTCCCAAAGCCTGCACCCTGCACCCCCTCCTGTACCCTAACCCCCTGCCCCACCCCTCCCAGAGCCCACACCCTGCACCCCAACCCGCTGCCCGAGCCCTGTCCTGGAGCCAGCACCCTGCACCCCAACCTCATGCCCCAGGCCTAAGCCCCCTCCTGCACCCAAACTCCCTCCCAGAGCCCACACCCTGAAACCCCTCCTGCACCCCAACCCTCTGCCCCAAGCTCAGGCCGGAGCCCCTCCCACACTCCAAACCCCTCGGCCCCAGCCCAGAGCCCGCACCCCAACCCCCTGTCCCAGCCTGGTGAAAGTGAGTGAGGGTAGGGGAGAGTGAGTAATGGAGGGAGGGGGGATGGATTGAGCAGGGCGGGGCCTCGGAGAAGGGGCAGGGCAGGGGCCTGGCCTCAGGGAAGGGGCAGGGCAGGGGGTGGGGCAAGGGTGTTTGGTTTGTCCTAGGGGAGTGAGGCTATTAGTCTGGGGCTTCTGTGTTTGCTTAGTTTAGTCTTTTTTGCATTTGATAATTACATTTGGTCCCATACACTCTCTTAATTCTGCTGACTGTAATCCTGGGAATGAGTGCAGGAACTAGGGTAACCAGATAGCAAGTGTGAAAAATTGGGACAGGGGGTGGGGAGCTATAGCCGCCTATATAAGACAAAGCCCCGAATATTGGGACTGTCCCAATAAAGTCGGGACATCTGGTCACTCTAGCAGGAAACTGATCTTTTCCTAGATCTAACAGGATAACAAAGGCCAGTTTTGGATACAAGTACTATGATTCCTTAGAGCCCTGCATTTTTGTGACGCTCAGTACTCAATTGCTACTTTTTCTTGTGCATCATAATAGAGTGACAACCCCGCCAACATTGTCTACACTAGTGGTGGTTAAAATGATGTGTCTGTGTGTCATCAGGTTGTGTGGTGTAGACATTTCATGGGCCACTAATGAGTGACATGTAAACATTCCCAGGCAATGCCTGAGGGATGGATATCATTTCCATAAAATAAAAGTGATTTCAGAAATTTGAGCACATTTATACATCATCTTGTAGCCTGGCATCACCCAGTCTCTTTTCTGGCAGTAGTGTGACACAAGGGACTGGAAACTTGCTGCTGTGGATAACTACAAACCTGTATCTTCAGCCAGCTCCAGTACATCATTTAAGGAAGTCACTTCCGACATTTTGTCTAGTCCCATGAACTTCTCATATGTTTGACCACAATGTAAAGAATAATTCCAAAATAAACTCATCAGACTTTCCCAAAATAGTGATTCAACTCATGGAGGACAACACAGTATACCAACTCCAGAGTTTCTAAGCCTGATTTCCTGTTATGACCTGGCATAAAAAAGGTAGGAGATTTTTCTGCTGATTTTGTTTTTTCCAAACTTTCTGATCTGACTGATCCATTGCCTAATTACCCTCAAACTTTCCACAATATAATTACCAAAAAAAAAAAAAAAAAACTTACTGAAGAGGAGAAATTTCAGTTAGATTGGTTCATTTTGGCTACAGCCACTGGACATTTTTCAAAGAAAATTTCACATTTTTTCTACTAGTTTATAGAGCTAGTTAATTGTTTTAAAAAATTATGCATCTCAGTACAAGTTTTGGGGGGGAAAAAATATCCCCATGAAATGTTATCACGATTTGTCAACCAGTTCTAATTTTGGCAAAGTTAAAGGAAATTTCAAAAAACAGTTTTATTGTGAGAAGCTACTTACAACTAGAACTGGTTGAAAAAAATGGACTTCTTTTTCACCAAATGTTTTGCCCAAAAAATGTTTTCAATGAAAGTTTGAACCAGCTATATTTATTATAGTGATAGGCCCCAATCATACTTTTTATATGCTATGTGACTAGTCTCATTAACGTCAAGTTAAAACGTGTATAAGTGTTTACAGGACTGATGACTTAATTTACAGGTCAGCTACAGTTATCAGATTTCAGAGAGATATGTCTGTGTGGAACTTCAATATTTTGCTTTTTTTCAGATAGTATTTTGTATCAGTTATTCTGTCCCCATTTCATACAGCATACTTAGTGTAATAAATTGAATGTTTATTCCAGCAAAATCATCCTAATGTCCAATG